CTGTGTGCATGCACACATTGGCTGTGTTGGCGAGGCTGTGTGTGTGTGTGTATGTGAGTGTGTGTGTGTGTGTGTTGGGGCTGTGCCTCACAGTCCCCCACTCACCCCCCCCTCGGTGCCACAGGTAAAGGCCCCGAGACACTCTTTGCTGGACACAAGCTCAATGACAATGAATGGCACACAGTCCGCGTGGTACGACGTGGCAAGAGCCTGCAGCTGTCCGTGGACAATGTGACTGTGGAGGGTAGGTAGAGGCTCTGATGGTGGGGGATGGTCTTGGCCCTTTCTCATTAGCTCCCCCTGGGCTCCTTGTCTGATGCTGCCCCTTCCTCACTTCTGCCCCTCACCCCAGCTTGAGTGACTTGTGTCATCTCACCTTTCTCCCAGGGACACTTCCTTACCGCTAAGCACTCTGGACCTCAGGGCTCCTTCTCAACAATCTCTTAGTCTCGTGGTGTCAGGAAAGGCAGCGTGATACAGTGGGGCAGAGAGTTAGAACTGGAATCAAAGGACTGGGTTCAGATCTCAGCTCTGTTATTTATTGCCTGTGTGATCCTGGGTCTCTCTGTGCCTGAGGGTTCTCATTGGTCAATTGAGGTAAGATGACCTCAGAGGCTCCTTCCAACTCTAAATTTATAATCTTCTGAATATGCTCAGCCTGAACACCTGCCTCCTTCCATCTTTGAGACATTGGTGATCTCCTGGGTCAAACAGGTGAAATGGGGGGCACCATGCCAAGAGTTTGTGTGACACGTTGAAAGTACAAGGTTTGGAACCAGAGAACCTGGAATCCAGACTCTGCTACTTAAGACTTTTGTGGGAAGGGGGGCATCCCCCTTCTCTATACCTCAGCTTCCCACTCTATGAGGATGGTTGGACTAGGTCAGGGGTTCTTAACCCTGAGCCCCTGAATTTGTTTTTGAAAATACATTGATCACTGTGTTTCAATATAATTGTTTCCTTCATCATCCTAAGTATTTTATTTTATGCATTTAAAAACATGACCTTGAGAAGGGACCCAGAGGCTTCTCCAGACTGGTGAGCAGCCTCCCCTGCCCCGGGACCTTCCCTTAACTAAACCCTCTCTTCCTCCACTCTGTGTCCCTGGAGCAGGGCAGATGGCTGGTGCCCACACGAGGTTGGAGTTCCATAACATCGAGACGGGTATCATGACCGAGCGGCGCTTCATCTCTGTGGTGCCCTCTAACTTCATTGGGCACCTCAGTGGGCTGCTATTCAATGGGCAGCCCTACATGGACCAGTGCAAAGATGGCGACATCACCTACTGTGAGCTCAATGCCCGCTTTGGCCTGCGGGCCATCGTGGCCGACCCCGTCACCTTTAAGAGTCGAGCCAGTTACTTGGCACTCGCCACGCTCCAAGCCTACGCCTCCATGCATCTCTTTTTTCAGTTCAAGACCACAGCTCCTGACGGGCTCCTCCTCTTCAACTCAGGCAATGGCAACGACTTCATCGTTATTGAGCTGGTCAAGGGGTGAGCCAGTTGACTCCCCGACCCTGGGCTATTCCCTCCAGGCCCATGGCCCTCTTGCCTTGCATCCCCATGGGAGTGTCCCTCTGCCTTGGTTGGGCTCCCTTTTGTTGGCAAAGAGACATGGCATGGATGCCAAGCTAAATGCCCACTGGCCCAGTTCCCCAATCCACTGCTTATAGGTCTGCCCCTTTTTTCCTTCAGTGAGCTGTCTGTACCCAAGATGGAACCCAAGTTCCTCCAAACTGTGGGCTCACGTGGACCAGGTCTAATCTGAGGACTGATCCCCAAGGGTCAGTTCCTTTGACTCATTATACCACCCTCCCCCACCTACAAACTCCAAGGAAACCTCCAAAATAAAGCTTAAGGATAGCTCATGTCCAGATCTCCCCAACTGTAGCAGAGCTCCCAGCTCCCATACAAGCACTCAGGATAACAATGCATGTGGGCAGGACAGCCTTTGTTTTCACCTCATAAAAATTCAGAAGATACAAAGGACTCAATCAGATACAAAAACTGCACAAAGCACTCACGGTGGTTTGTGGGAGAAGGGCTTGACGGCACCCTGTGGGCACAGATATACCACCTCCATTCACTCTAACTCAATTCTATTCACCTCAATATTTATTAAATGCCTAATATCTGTTAAGCACAATGCTAGGAACACTGGGGACACAAAGACAAAAGTGAGTCTCCTTGCTCGCCTTTTCAAACACATTTCAATTTGGCACTCATTTATTAGACGCCAAACTCTGTACCAGGCCCTGGCTGGATGCTGGGGTAAAATAAGATACGAGTATTTTCCTTAAGGAGCTTAGAATCTAAAGACGTGTTTAACGGACGCTGGAGTAAATACAGAAGAGAGACCCATGCCTTCTGGGAGAGTCAGGGAAGGCTTGATGGAGAAAGTAGGGAAGGATCCTATCTCCAAGCATGGGGGATCAGGTGAGGGAAGGTGTGGAGATGGAGAGGGCAGGATGAGAATTGGGTTTCCTGAGCCGTGGAGAGTAGGATTAGACATCAGGGCTGTAAGAGAGGCTGGAAGCAGGCGTTTGCTTGGATTGATGTCCCTTGGAGTCTCCTACAATGCTTTCGGGTTCCTCTTGGGATCCATCCTTCCTCATGGAAGTCTTCAGACTTTCCTGAGTTAGAGCACCTGGGGCTTGGGGAGTGATGCATCTCCTATCCTTCCCATCCAGCCCCCCTGCTACCAGCACAAGTTAAGCACTTGGTTAGTGCCCGCTTCTTGCTATCATGCCCCTCACCCTGGTGCCAAGCACATCCCCCACATGACTGTGCTCCTAGGTCCCCTGCCCACAACTTCCTTCCCTGCTTACCCCACCAGGGTAGTCTTCTCCATCCAATGGTTGGGTGTTCAGAAGTGGAAGTAAGGGGAAAGAGTGGAAATGAAGAGAAGGGAGGTGTCAGAAGGTTAGGTTTGAACCCTGACTTTGTTGCCTGGGTGACTTTGGGAACTTCCTTCTCTGGACTGCAGCTACCCCTTCTGTAAAAGGCAGGGAAGCTGGATGTGTGTGAGCACCATCCCAGCTCTGGCTCCAGTGAATATCCTGGCCCCATTCCTTCCCCTGGGATGCCACTTGCTCCTTCCTCTCTGATGGACGTTGTAGCGTCCTGGGTCCTGGCCCTAGAGTCCCTTGTCTAGCTCCATCTCCCCAGCACAGATTGCCCTGTTTTGCTGAATGTTCCGAGCTTTCTCCTTTGTAGTTCTTCCAGGGATTTCAGCAGTACCCTCTCCCTATAACCTCCTGTAGCTTCCCCGAGTCAAAGGCTCCTTCCCCTTCCAGGTCCCTCCTCTGGGACTCAGGAGCCAATGCCCTGGGGTTCCCTCTCCCAGGAAAGTTCCTTTTGCCCTAGGATAGGATTGTTCTTTTGCCTGTTGCCTTTGTTTGCTGGCTTCTCTCCACCAGTCACACTCCACTGAGAGATCCTTCCATTATCTCCCCTCATCCTTGCCAGCTGAAGGTCCACTTCTCCATTCCTTGACTGCCTGTAGCTTTTGTCCTTTCTCTGCTATTGACACTGCCCTGCCATCTTCCTCACATCCCTTTTGGGTCTCTGACCACCACCACCGCATGTTCTCCTTGTGTTCTTAATTAACCCTTCCCTTTTCCCTTATCTCCTTGACACGAACCCATGTCTTCTCTCCCTGCCTTGATCAGGTACATTCACTATGTGTTTGATCTGGGGAATGGCCCATCTCTGATGAAGGGGAACTCAGACAAGCCTGTCAATGACAACCAGTGGCATAATGTGGTGGTATCAAGGGACCCAGGCAATGTGCATACACTCAAGATTGACTCACGCACAGTCACGCAGCACTCCAATGGCGCCCGGAACCTGGACCTCAAAGGTAAGAGGGCTATCCCTGATCACCCATCACTGTTAGTCCCCCATGATTCCCTTTGTGACCCCCATCACTCCCAACACCTCTCAAAATTCCTTTTCTGACTCCTACAAAATCCCTCTTTCTAACTCCCAATGTTCCTTCTGTGAACCTCCAACCCTCACCCCCGCCTCCCGCCATCTCTGTGTCCCATGTCCCTCTCTGTGACATCCCTAGGTATTCTTCCTGGTCATTCCTCTGTGATTCTTACATCATCTCCTCTGTGACCCATCATCTGTAACCCTAACACTAAATTCCCTTACCCTCATCTTATCCTTCCCTGTGACCCCCCCACCTCAATATAACCTTCCATTGGTATTTCTTATGAAACCCCAAATCCCTCCCTGTGACCTCCATAATCTCTTCTATTATTACCCAGTGACTTTCCTTGACCCCCCATTATCCCCTCCCCCTTACATTTCTTTCTTAAAATGTCCCATCATCTCCCCCTTGATTTTTTGTTGTCCTCTCTATAACTCACAGTCACCTCCCCCATGACTCTTTCCACCATCCTTCCAGTGCCCCCCCTTATCATTCCTCTCTGTGATGCCCGTATCACCTTCTTTGTGGGAACCTCCCCTCATCTTTCTTATCACCCTTATTATGTCTCCTGTGATTCCCATCACCCTACCCCATAAAATCCATTTAGCTATCTTGGTGATGTTTCATCATTCCCTCCTTATGACACTCCCCTCATTGTATCTCACAAAGACTCCCTTATCATTCATTCCTGTGTCCTCTATCATTCATTCTTCCTATGATGCCTCCATTGTCCCTTCTTGTGATTTCCCCATCTTCTCTCCCTAAGACACCCTATGTTATCCTTCCAATAGACTCCTATTATTCCTTCTTTTGTTCCCTCCCCAAAATCTCCTCCTTGCAATTCCCAGAATTTCTCCCATAATCTCTTATCATCCTTCCTTTGTGGCTGAATGATGGGGACCTTAGATGGAAGTGAACACTCCACCTTAGAACCTGGGATAAAGGAGGAGAAAGCTGAGGATAGTCCCTAAGATTTGGGGAGAACAGGTTTCAAAGATTCCAGAGGAAGGATAGATAGGATGTCATGGGTTAAAATTCCACAGGGGAAGTCAGTTCAGGGGGAATAGGGAGCTCCCAAAGATAAAATTCTGAGGACATAAAAGGGAAACCATTCCAACATGGAGGAAAAGATGTATTGATCTAATGAAGCTGATGTGGCCACATAGTGAGCTCCTCACTCAACTTAGAGTTTTAAAATACATATGTGTGTATGTAGAGGTGGAAACAAGGAAAGTTACCAAAGAGTCTACCCAAAAGTGAATCTGTCTCCAAATGAGCTGAGGCTGACTAGGAAGGCTGAGGACCATGGAAAGGAGTTTGGTTTGCTTCTTTCATTCATTAATTTTATTGAGGAAAAGAGAAAGATCACAGAAGGATAGGAATGTTACTCAAGGTGTATGAGATGGTGATAATAGAGCATAGAGGGAAGGCAAAGCTACCCAAACTTTATTTTGTTTTGGTTTTCTCTGCCAAGAAGAATGCTCTTTGGACTGGAGAAGACAGAACCAAAATGGCTAATAGGGAATTGATAGCCAAGATAAGTAGGAAGATCACAGGAAGCACAGGAAGGCTGCCCTTGATGAGTATGTCACCAGGCCCAAACTATAATTGTGGCATGGTCTTCAAAGACCTGGAGGAGGTGGTATCTGGAGCCACTGCTGGTGATTTTTGTACGATGACACAGAACAGGAGAGGTTCTTTGGGACTGGCAAAGTGAAAAGGAGAAGAGAATGGAGTCTGTAGAGTACAGGCCAGTGAGCTTCATATCAAAATTCTAGTGTATATTACTAAAGGCAGCATGTGGACAGCGTCACAAGAGCTGTGCCTCTGACCCACCTGTGGGACGCTGGGGAAATTACCTAACCTCTCAGTGTCCTAGGCAACTCTCTAAAGCTTTAAATTGCAAAAGAATTTGCATTGATAAAAGGAGTTTCCTCTTGGAAGTTTCTTAAACCAATGAAATCACAGATTGGGTCTAGTCAACAAGCATTTATTTAATATCTAATATGTCCCAGGCACCATGTTAAGTGCTAAGAAAGAAAAAAAAAGCAAAAACAACCCCTCCTCAGGTACAACTAAATTATTAAAATAGTAGTTAGTGACCACTCAGCCAAGAAGTGATGATCACAAAAAGCCAGCATGGCTTCATTGAAGACAAGGCAAAGCGGATGAGCCTCATATCCTCTTTTGATAGCGTTACTAACCAAGTAGATTGGGTAATTCTGGAGGTATTGTTTACCTAGATTAAAACAAAGCATTTGACAGTGTCTGTTATGTTATTCTTTAGGAAGAGATGGAGAGATGTAGGCTAGTACAGTTTGCTGGGTTGATTGATAACTGATAGCCTAGCCTGCCTTGGGGAATGGTCACTAATGGGTTTGATGGAAGGAGGTCTCCAGTGAAGTGCTCCAGGAATCTACACTTGGTCCCCTGTAACTGTAATAGGGATAACTGTGGTAACTGTAATAGGGATAAATGTAAAGGTTACATATGGATTTTAAGCAAACCAGCTTCACAAGCAGATGCTGAGGGAGGCTTGGTGAAGTAACAGTTTTCCTAAAGAAGTTCTGGAGGGTTTGGTTGATGGCAAGCTCAATGGAAGCCAGTCAGCAGTGTGTGACAGCCCAAAGGGTGAGTTAAGCTATGTTGAGAGAGAACTAATGGTCACGACTCCAGAGGTGATAATCTCCTCATCCCCTGCCCTGGTCAGACCCACATCTCAAGTTTTGTGTTCAGTTTTGGGTGCCACAGCCTAGGAAACACATTGCTGAGCTGTATAGGGTCCACATGAGGGCAACCAGGATCACAAAGAGCCTGGAGAATCATGTGTATGAAGACTGACTGAAGAAACTTGGAATATTTACTATCGAGAAAGAAGACTCAGGGGAAATATGGGAGGTGTTTTCAGGTATGTGACAGGCTGTCACATGGAAAGGGGATTGGATTTACTCTGAGACAAAACTGGTATCAATGTGGGGAAGCTGCAGAGAGACAGGTTTGGGCTCAATGTCAGGAAAATCTTCCTAGCACTCAGTGCTACCCTGAAGCTGAGTGGGTGGCCTTTAGAGGTGGTGGGCCCCTCCTTATAGGAAGTCTTCAAGCAAAGGCTGGACATCCCCTTGTTGAATCAGCTGTACGTGGATTCTAACTCAGCTAGGGGTTGAACTAGATCCCTCTCATGTCCCTTCTGGCTCTGAGATTCTGAGATTTTGTGTGATGGAGAGATGGACACAAGGAGTGTGGAGGAGGTAGAATTGACAAGAATTAGCCACTGGTTGAATTTTGGAGGTTGAGGAAGGGTTGGAAGAGTTCCGAATGATTCTGAGGTGATTGGTGATTAATTCTAAGTGACTAGAAAGATGGCAGTATTATAGGAGAGTTTGGAGTTATGGTATACTCAGATGGTAAGACAATGAGTTCTGATTTGGACACCTTGAATTTGAGATGTCAATGGCGGGGATATGCAGGAAGAGATATCTATTACGCACTTAGTTGGTGATTTAGGACTAGAGTTCAAGACTAGGGAGTTCATACACGATCACTGTACCCATATGAACTAATGGGATCACCAAAAGAGAGAATATAGAGGGAGAAGAGGATTCAGTACTGAAGCTTGGTGGGGACACCTGTGCTTAAGGGGCAGGAGCTAGATGATAACCCAGCAGGGAAACCTGAGTGGTCAGAAAGGTAGAAGGAGAACCAGGAAAGCAGTTTCAGGAAATCCAATGAAGGAAAAAATATCCAGGAGGCTTGGTGGCTGCTAGTGTCAAAAGTTGTAGAAGGAGGATGAAAACTTAAAAGAGACCATTGGATTTAGTAGCTGAGATGTCTGGTAACTTTTGAGAATGCCATTTTACTCGAGTTGAGGCCAGAAGCTACTTGGCAAGGGTTTGGTGAAGGAAGTGGGGGCAGTAAGTCTAGATATTTCAAGGAGTTTGGCACTGGAGGGGGGGGCAGATTCAATCAAAGGTTTGGTTTTTTAAGTATGGGAGAAAGCTGACCATGTTTGTAGGTATTAGGAAAGGAGCCAAGAGAAAGAGAAAGAGAGATTCAACATGAGAAAAAAATGATCCATGGGGCAAGCTTCTGTTGGAGACATGAAGCAATGGGGTTGGGTGCACAAATATCGAAGGACCACAGGAGCTTAGAGCTAGAAGAAAGCTGAGAAGCCTGTAGTCTAACCCACACCTGACCAAGACTTCCCTCTACAGAAGACCCAACAAGAGGCCCTTCAGTCTCTTCTTGAAGAACTTTAGAGAGAGTGACTCTACCTCCCAAGTCAGCCCATTCCACTCCAAGATAATTCTCATTGCTCCATTTTTCCTTATGTAGAGGCAATGTAGGTGCTAACTACCCATATAACCTTGAGCAAGTCTCTTCTCTCCAGGCCTCAGTTTCCTCATCTGTCAAATGGACTTGATGTCCTCCAAGGTCCCTTCCAGCTCTGAATCTTAGATTCTTGTGATGGTCATGCAGTGGCAAGAGTTTTAGATTTGGAATCTGGGAACCTAGGTTCAAATTCCAGCTCTGCGCTGACTACTGGTGTGATCTTGGGCAAATACTTTGCCTATTCTGGGCTTCAGTTTCTTCATCCATAAACTGAGAAGGTTGCAGGAGATGACCTCAAAGGTCTCTTCCACCACTATATTATGTGAACTTAAGTCTAATTGGCCTCCTTACAGATTTTAGCCCAGGAGTTGGACAAGTAGAACAGCTCCCTCTTTCAGGGTCCAGAACAGAGAAGAGGCTGGATGGAGATGTGGGGGAGGGATGGATTAGAGGTGTGGAGAAAGGGAGATCAGGGAGCTCATGATCGATGCCTTCAATTTTCTTGGTAAAGCAGGAGGTGAGATGCGCTGCTGAAGGAGGGAATGTGAAGGTATAAAACTCGGGTCCTTCCCTGAGCTTCCGAACTCTTGTCTTTGTCTAGTTTCATTAGCAGCCATGTGGCCTTGATGAAAAGCGCCATCTTCTCTCCCCACCCCCAACTAATCTATATCACCATCAATTCCTCCCCAGTGGCCTCAGGTGGACTCTCCACCCCTTCCTGTTTCAAAGCCCCAGCCCTGCCTGCTGGACTAACTATGAAATTGCGATTTCCAGTCTAAGAGAAGTCTCTAGTCCACAGTTCACTCCCCAAACAGAGATGATTGATGTGTCCTGAGCTCAGTGACCAATGAGGCCTCTCTGGGCTCAAGTTACCAGCTCTGCCCTCTTCCACCTCCCCTTTTTGCATAACTTGGCATCACTCAGCTGCTGATCGGGGAGTGTTCTTCCAGAATTCTATTACTATCATTTTCCAATATCAAAAATACTTTGCATATACAGTAAAAATACTAGACATCAAGGGAGGCAAATGACTTCCTCTCATAACTCCCTTCCTTCCTTTGGGTTTCCCATTACTGTAGTGCATTCCCCTCCCCCTCTCATCTCCAGCTTTCCATTTCTCTGCCCCATCTACCTTCCCATAACCCTTCTGGAATGTTTGAATCCCCTCTCTGATGCTTACTGCTTCTGTGATATCGGGCAAGCCATACATTAAATGCTTTACTTTTCTGTCTACCTAAGCTCCCTGACCTTCAATTTCCTTATCTGTAAAATGAAGGGACTGGTCTAGTTGTCCTCTGAGACCCTTTTCAGCTCCAGCTATGAGCCTCACGATAGGCAGAGATGTCCATGGTCCTGAGGGATATGGAGCCCATTAGGGTTTAAGTTGGCTGGTGACTCCCTCCCCTTACAGGGAACACTAGTTCCTACAGAGCCATTCCTGTCTGGAGGCCCCTGGGTTCCTAGTCTTATAGGTGCCAGGGGGCTGGGTAGGATAGCTCTGGAGATTATAGGATGAGTCTTTCCTGTGCTCTCATCCCTGTGGCAGGAGCCCAGATCTGTCCCAGGCCTGGGTGGAGGTGGTGAGAATCCTGGAGATGACCTGGGATCATCAAGCATGTGGCAGCCTCAGAGAGGAGGCTCTGGATCTCCTGAAATCATCTGGAAATTTGGACTTTGACTAGTTTCTGGGATGAGGCAGTATAGGTGGTCAGAACCCTAGCATCCTTAAGCAGCATTGTAGGGAGGTTGTCTGACTCCAGGTCTCCAGCGGTGGGCTCAGGGTAAGGTCAGAGCCCTCCTCCCTCCTGAAGTGATGAGAGGCCCCACCGCAGGCATTACTATCCCCATTTTATAGATGAGAATCCTGAGGCTTAGAGAGGTTAAGGTCTTGGCCTAGGGTCACATAGCCAGTAAGCCTCAGGGCAGGATTCAAGCCCACCTCTTCCTGACAAGATGGCCTTTGAGGTCCCTTCCTGCCGTCGGTCTAGGATCTTGTGGTCCCATGACTCCAAGCCCAATCTTCCCTCTACAGAAGCATCTCCTTCGGTTTGGGCAGAGCATGCCCAGGAGAAAGGAACCCAAAGAGGGGGCCGAACGTTGCTCCCCTGCCTGGGCCCAGAACAGCCTCTGGCTTGGCCCGTGTCCTAATCAATGAGTCAGTGACAACTGCTGCTGCTTCCAAGAGCTCTGTGAGCATTTTCCCACAACAGCTTTTTGGGGGACGTAGTCCAAATCTCCTTAGCCTCTTTTTGTGGAGGAGGAAACTGAGGCCTGGAAAGCTGAGAAGACTTGCCTAGGGCCAGACAGCCAGGAGAAGAGGCAGAATTTGAACCCCCTGAGACCACAGCCCTGGCTCCCTATGTCCTCTGAGGTCCCTTCTAGCTTTAAGCCTGGCTCCTGTGGTCGCCTCCACCACACTGAGTCAGCTCTCTGTTATCCATGCGAATGTGGGGGCCGTGGCAGTGGGTAGAGGTGTGGGCTAGCTGAGCTGCAAAGGGCCGAAAATAGCATCGTCAGCTTGTCTTTGGGAGGAAGGCATTTCGTGATGCTTGGGGCAGTGGGACTGGTCTCCTGGTTACATGTGGGTGAAGGGCTCAAGGGGCCAAGTAGTGCATTCAATTCACTGAGTTTCAGGGTCAGAAGGGACCTCTGGGGTCATCTCATCCCATCTCATCCCATCCCTCTAGCAGGACTCTCTGCTCTATCCCACACAAGTGGCCCTCAGTTTCCCCTTCTTCAAAATGAGGCGCTTGGTTAGACTGGGTGATTGGGTGATCCTTAAGGACACTGGCAATGATCCTGGCCATCCAGCTACCTCCTGAGGACCTCCAGTGACGGGGAACTCACTACCTTTTACTTAAGGACCGCTCTCATTGTTAGGAAGGGTTTCCGGATAGCCAGCCTCAGTTGACCTCTTGACAACTTCACTACTATTTTTGTTCTCTGGGACAAGCAGGACAAGTCCAATCCTTCTTCCAATTCAACAGAACACAAAGTGTCCGTGACTAGGGAAGGTGGGAGCATTGAGGCAGAATCAATTCCTTTGGAGTCAACCGGTGGCTCAGTGGATAGGGCCTGGAATCAGGAACACAAGTTCAAATCTGACCTCAGGTACTTACTAGCTGTGTGTCCCTGGGCAAGTCACTCAACCCCGTTTATCTCAGTTTCCTCATCTGGAAAATGGGAATAATGATAGAACCAACCTCCCAGGGCTGTTGTGAGGATCAAACGAGATACGAATTGTAAAATGCTTAATACAACGCCTGGCACATAGTAGGTAAGCATAGAAATGCTTATTCCATTCTCTTCCCTTCTCCACCTTTACCACAGAGGGTTGACAGGTTAATGATGGAGAAATGAACGTTCATAGGGTCCCACCACCTCCCTTTTCTGGGGCTTTTCAGGAAGACTGGGTAAGGCAGTGCTTTAGGGGGCAAGGGAGACTCAGTTATAGACCTGGGAAAGAGATGGATGGGGAAGGAATAAGGGAATAGGAGAGTGATGGGAAGAGCAGAGTTGGGGGTGGAGGGAAGAGAGGCTACTTTGAAAGGCTCTGATTGCCAGCAGAACTGGAAGCTGGGTGGGAGAAAGTGCAGAGCTGGCTCCCCCAGCTGCTTTCCCCTCCCTCTTGGGACCTAGGCACCTGGGCTCCTCTGGGAGGGAAGGGGAAGCAGAGAAAGAGAGGAAGAAAGGGAACAAGATGAGGCTCTTGGGAAGGAAATGAGGACTCGGAGGCAGGATGCCGAGGTCCTGTGGAATGGGTGTGTGGAGAGAAATGAGGACCGGGAGGAAGGATGCTTGGGATGTAGAAGGGCATTGGGGGCTGAGAGGCACACTGCCTGGGTCCTGGGGCCCCACGCTCCAGCCCCGGCCCCTCCTGCCCCCGCAGGAGAGCTGTACATCGGTGGTCTGAGCAAGAACATGTTCAACAATCTGCCGAAGCTGGTGGCCTCTCGGGATGGCTTCCAGGGCTGCTTGGCTTCGGTGGACCTCAACGGCCGCCTCCCAGACCTCATCGCTGACGCCCTGCACCGGATCGGGCAGGTGGAGAGGGGCTGTGATGGTGAGCGTGGGCAGGGACCCCAGCCCTGAGCCAGCCTGACTGAGCACCCCCCCTAGCCTGGGACGAGGGTGGGGGGAAGGGGGCTCTGGGGAGTCCTCGGGGGTGGGGAAAGGGCCAGACAGATAACAGGATGGAAAGATGTCAGGACACGCGGCTTCGAGTCCTTCTGTGCCTGGTCTTCCTTCTGGTTGAGGCTTCCCCTGGCTGGACCTCAGTTTCCCCCTTTCTAAAAGGAAAGGACTGGAGCAGGTGCCCTCGGTGGTCAGTCCTGGGAAGCTTTAGGCTTCCTTAGCCCCAAGCCTCACTAGTGGTGCCCTCTAGTGGGCCCAAAGGTCGGTTTTCCCTTTCTGCCCCCAGGGCTGGTGGAGCTCCTCTGGGAGACTGCTGCCTGGGAGTTTGGGGTGGGCTGCTCCCCAGTGAGCTGAGCCACAGGGTATGTCCCTCCCTTCGTCTCTGCCACTCTCAGGCCCCAGCACCACCTGCACCGAAGACTCCTGTGCCAATCAGGGCGTCTGCCTGCAGCAATGGGACGGCTTCACCTGTGACTGCACCATGACCTCCTACGGGGGCCCCATCTGCAATGACCGTAAGTTGGCTGGGGGTTGGAGAGGCAGGGAAGGCGATGCTTACGCCTAGCTCTCCGAGGGTGGGGGTAGGGGGTGTCCTGGCCCCTCCCTCAGGCCACTCTGCTCCATTCGGTGGCAGTCTGAGCTCACGGCTGCTGCCTAGCACCTCTGCTGGGAGAGGGATAGGGTGAGCCCACCCAGCATGCAGCCCACAGGGGCACCCTGCTAGCGTGCCAACATCTGCATGGGGGGAATCCATGCCTGGAGAATTCCCTGAAATCCTAGCAACAGTGAAGCAGGACCAGGGGGCTGCTTGTGTAGACATACACATCCATGCACACGTGTGTGCACACACATATATATACCCACACTCACTCAGGGGACACAAATGTACATAGGTATGCACACATGTGCCAGGTATGTTGGTACATAAGTGCACACAAGACACTTATACACTCATGTATAGGCATCAGTCAAACAGCAAGCATTTATTAAGCTCCTACTTTATGCTAGGCACTCTGCTAGGTACCAGGGATGTAAAGACAGTCCCTGCCTTTAAGGTGGTTACATTCTACCAAAACATACAATAGATGCATATACAAAATAACTACTAATTAAATACAAGGACATTTTTGTGGTGGAGTGGAAGGAAAGATACCAGCAGCTGGGGAAATCAGGGAGGACTTCATGCAGGAGGTAGCCTTCAAGCTGAGCTGTGAAGGAAGGTAGAGGCATGGGGGACAGCGTGGAGGTAGGAACTGGTATGTCATGTGACTGGAAGGTAGAGTGAATGAAGTAAATGATGTCAGATGGTACAGGGCTTTAAATGCCAAACAGAGGAATAGTTTTCCCAGTGGCACTAGGGAGCTAGTGGAGGTTTTTTAGCAGGGCAGTAACACAGTCAGGTCTAAGCTTTAGGAATCTCCATCTGGCTTTGGTGTGGGAAGAGATCAGAAACTTCAAAGATCACTCAGCAGGTGGCTGTAATAGAGCAGATAAGAGGTGATGAGAGCACAGCTAGAGTGGTGGCTGTGTGGGAGGTAAAGAGCTGAGAGGAAGTCAAATGGGCGAGATCTGGCAACTGATGGGATTGATAGGGATAAGCCAGAGTGTGTCAAGTCAAGAAGTACCTGCTATGGGCCAGGCACTATGCTAAGTGCTAGGAATACACATATAAGAAGAAAAAGAAAGAAAGGAAGGAAGGAAGGAAGGAAGGAAGGAAGGAAGAGAGAGAGAAAGAAAGAACAAAAGGAAGAAAGAAAAAGGGAGGGAGGGAGAGAGAGAAAGAAAGGAAGAAAGAAGAAAGAAAGAAAGAAAGAAAAAGTCCTGCCTTCAAAAAACTTACATTCTAAAGGCAGAAGACAACCTATAAAAGAGAGCTGAAAGGATGTGGAGGGAGGGAAGGAAAGGTACCCACCTAGAAAGCCCAGAGAGGAATGAGGGCATGGCTAGTCTGGCACTTTCTTTATAATGGAGGCTGTGCCCTGCCTCAACAGAAATCGAAAAGATGAGAAGAGGGGAGGGTTCTGGGGGAAAGATAATAAGTTCATTTGGGATACATTGAGTTTGAGATGCCTATTAGGTATCTAGTTTGAAATGCCCAGTTATCTAATAGTCAATTGGAGACATGGGACTGAAGTTCAGGAAACAATCTGGGGCTGGATGTCTGTATCATCCGAGTTGAACCCATGGGAGTTGATAAGATCAAGAGAGAGTGAGTATGGAGAAAGAGAAGAGGGCCCATGGCAACAATGAGGTGGCACCCACAGTTATTGAGGCAAGAGATGGAAGATGGTCCCATGAGAAAGAGGAGGGCTGGCCTGTCACATACCATCACTGACACACTCATATGCACATGCACAAGCACATATACATGCCGGCACAAACTTGCACATGGATGATTATCCATATGTATTCATGTCCCTGGCCATTCACTGTGTCAGAAACTGCATTTCATAGATGCCTCCACCAGCCAGGGTGTGCAGGATAAGCTGACTGCTTTCTGTCCACTACAGAGTAGCCCAGACAGATTCTCTAGAGGCCAAACTGTTGCTGCTTCCTCTCGGTTGGATTCAGCTAAATCCAGTAGGCATTGATTAAGAGCCTACTGCATACACTGGGTGCTGAGGATGCAGAGACAAGAACAAAATGGGTCCTGCTCTCAAGATGCTTCTGTCTTCCTCTGAAACCCCCACAAAGACCCCCAAATTGCAGAATGCCCCCAGGCCACTCGTCGTTGCACCCTTGCATCCTCCAGCCCGCCCCCCCCCCCCCATCTCCTTAGCCCTTCCTCAGCTGACTCCTCTCCTGACAAGGTCAACCTGAGCAGCTGTTTTCTCACAACCAACAGCTGCTGGGGATCCAGAGGGAGGCAGCTGTGTTCCTCTGTACCTCTTGCCATCCCTGTGTTGGGGTGGGGCCCCCCAAAGGTCTCAGCTCTCATTCTTGCAATGTCATTGATCTTTCCCATATGGGCAGTGGGGACAGAGGCTGCAGCCTGTGCAGAGAAGGGCTGGGGAGGGAGCAGCTTTATTCTTCTTTTTGGGGATGGGACTGGAGGAGGTTACATGTGGAGACAAGGGAAACTAGTCCGGGTGGAGGGGTGTACACACACATGCATGTCCATGAGCACACACCAGTGTGCAAACACATCTGCACACCAAGCGTTGTATCTGGGACCAGAAGATCTGGGTTTGAACCCTGGCTCCTTTCTTAGCTGTCTGACTTCAGTCATATCAATTGTGGTGCCATTTTACCCTGTCTAAAATGAGGAGGTTAGCCTAGGTCAGGGGTGGGGAACCTGCGGCCTTGAGGCCACATGTGGCCATCTAGGTCCTCACGTGTGGCCCTCTGACTGAATCCAAACTTCACAGAACAAATCCCCTTAATAAAAGGATTTCTTCTATAAAACTTGGACTCTGTCAAAGGGCCACACCCAAAGACCTAGAAGGCCACATGTGGCCGCAGGTTCCCCTCTCCTGGCCTAGGTAATCCCCAAAGTCTCCTCCAGCTTTAAAGCCTGTGGTCCCATGATGCTTTCCTCCAAAGATCCCATCTATTGATCAAATCTGTGCTGGAGCAAGGATTGCTGGACCAGCTGGACCTCAGAGGGCCTTGCCTCTGGTTTGACCTTCTCTGATTGGGGTACAAGGAGTAAGAAGGCTTGGATGTTAGTCCCAGCTCTAACACTAACTCATTGTATGGCCTCAGGCAAGGATTTCCCCACCCCCACCCCCTGCATCTGGGCTCCATTTTTCTTGTTTGGAAAGTTATACTAAACGCTGTTTGCTAAAGGAGAGGTCCTGGATTCATATCCCAATGAACCCTCAGTGGAGGGGCAGGGAAGGTGGAGGGGCTGTGCCAAACGGCTGTTGAGGGCCTGCCTCTAACATTCTGAGTCTGGAGTCTCTGAGGTCTTTCTCAGCCAGGTGGTCTGTGCCTGCAGAGCTTACAAAATGTAGCTAGCCTGATAGGCCAACACTTATGTGGTGCTGGTGGGAGGAGGCAGGAGACTGCCTTCAGCTAGGGCTTCTCCTTCCTTGGAGTGCAAGCACATCATCTTGTCCAAGGGACCCTTGTGGTTGGCATTCTGAAGTGGAGTGAAAGGGGGAAAGGCCCATCATGCTGCAGTTTCCTTCTAGTCATACTGGAATGAGGCACAAATGTGGGCCAGCTGCCTTTTGAGTTCTGTGTAATGGGAAAAACCTTGGATTTGGAGCTGTAAGATCTGGATTCAAGTCCTGACTACTACTTACTAGCAGCATGACCTTGAGGAAATTATTTCACCTCTATTTGCCTCAGTTTCCTCAACTGTAAATGAGGAGGTTGGGATCTAAGGCACCTTCCAGCTAAATTATATGATCTCACATCTTGCCCTCTTTCAAGGGTAAAAGATAGGAGGAGTGGAGGACCATAGGACAGAGAAGCAGGTGGCCTGGGTTCTTAGGAAGGTGAAACTCAGCAGCTGGGGCGTGAGAGGAGAGTGCCTCGCCAGCACGATGGTCACCAAATGATGGAGTGAATGCCTGGCTGTTTGTTGGTGCACATGCACGTGCATGTGTGTGTATGTGTGTATGCATGTGTGCATGTGTATATGCATGTGTGCATGTGTGCTCACATGCATGCATGTATGTGTGTGCACGTGTATGTGGATATGTGCATGTGTATATGTGTGCATGCGCATGTGTGTATGTATGTGTATATGTGTGTGCATGTGCATGTGCGTGTGTGTGTGTGTGTGTGTGTGTGTGTGTGTGTGTGTGTGTGTGTGTGAAAGGAACTAAAGAGAAGATGGGTCCCAGCCTATACAGGGTAAACTTGCTGCTTGTTGGACCTCCAATCCAAAATAGGGTGTTGGTATCTGTTCTCTTGGAAAGGGGGGATTGGCATCTAGGGACATGAGAGAAGTGGCGGTATTTTTTCCGACAACCTACCTTGGTCTCCCCCATTCCCCAGTCTCACCTCCACCCCACAGATCTCAAGCCTCTCATCCTCCGCCTCTCCTGTCGGCTTGTATTTTGGTTTTGGGCATTTTCCCTTTGGCATTGTGGGGAGAATACCGGGTATAGAGTCAGAAGATCTGGGTTCAAAGTCTGCTTTGGATGTTTAGTACTTTTGTGCCCTTGGGTGAATCCCCTCCCCTGGCCTCAGTTTCCTCATCTGTAAAATGAAAGAATTGGACTTGTTGCTCTCAGAGGCCCCTTCAGGCTCCAGAGCTGAGATCGATGATCCTAACTCACACAATGGCCAAAGTTCACTTCATATCTTGGCCTCAGTTTCCCCATATGTAAAACAAAAGGGTCAGATAAGAAGACCTGGTGGGTCCCACCCACTTCTATATGAATGACCCTTTCCCTCCAATATTATGGGAGCCTAGGGATCAGCGTGAGGACCACAGAGTCCCAAGGGGAGGTTTTTTCAGACGCAAAGGCAGCAGGACGAAATGGAGAGCACCCTGCCCTAAGAGTCAAACTACCTGGGTTCACATCCTGGCTCCCCCATTTGGGGACACTTGGGTGCC